GATAACTGATGAAACCTCGATAGTCGCATCATGCTTCTGCTTAGCAAGGGTCTCTAGCTCAGCAAAACGGATGGAACCTGCTCCGAGCCTAGGCGCTTTTGCCTCGTGGCGTTTGGGACAGTTCCGACTTTCATGACCTGCTTCCTTGCAAGAGAAGCAGCGTCCTTCGGCTCGAAGACGGTCTCGTTCATCTTTCGATATCTTGTTTGAACGATCGCGAGGCTTTCGGTCACCTCGGTTGGTATTGTTATATGCCTTTTTCTCATTCCTTGAAGGTCGATTGCTCGAGTTGCTCGAGTTACTTGATTCAGCTTGCGCTGCCGGCTTATGAGGTGCGTTTCCGCTGGTTCGTGCTTGGAAACGGCCCCACTCACGGCCCTTAGGTTTCCCGCGGAACTCCCGTTCTTCGCGGCGACGTGCTTCATTGGACGCTTCAAATCGTATAGCCCATTTTACAAGCTTCTTAAAGCTGGTATCTTCTGGGCTGTACCCCTTGTCGATCCATTTTAGCCTTATATACTGATGTACCCCTTCCCAAAATATCTGAACAATTTGTCTTTCAGTGATATCAGGAAAGCGGGAGGCTAACGACTGAATATCTCGAACGAAGTCACGAACGTTGTGGCTGCCTTGGTGCGACGCCATCAATCGTTCTCGCAATTTCAGCTTATAATCAATCGGAAAGCAATAATCAAATAATGCTTCGAAAATGCGCTCAACTGTCCAGTCTCGCTGGTGATTAGCTACATGCTTCATGAAGAAGCGGCTAGCTGTCCCCGACATGAAATTTACCATAAGTTTAATCACGATTCTGTCATCAGATAGCCCAGATAGCTCACACCAGTTCTCTATTTCATAGATCCACTGGTCAAACCGATCAAGGTTTGGTGTCCCATCCCATACGAAGGGAGCCTTTATCTTAACGCCTGATAACGCCCTCTTGATTCGCTTAGCTTCCTTGGCCTTGACCCGATCCTTGGCCTTCCGCTTCGAACGGGACTTAGCCGATTGAGCTCGCTTTCGCTGCGGTTCTTCAGGTACGCTGCTCTGGCTATTATCTGAACTATATTCCTCAGATTCTGAGCTCTCACTATCATGGGAGGATCCCCTCGCCGTTGTCTTATTTGTTGAACTAACATCTGAACTATCCGACGCAGGATCCTCCGATTCGCTAGAATCAGACTCGGAGCTGCTGGAATTCCCAGAGTCTGATGACTCAGAGCTAGATGACGACGGCGGGCTGGAGTGTCCCTCAGATCTCATCGACGCTGAGCCGAAGCGTCGACCTCCCGGCATCTGTGATCGTGAGCGGTACGACGATCCGAAAAAATTGGCAGGTGAGTTTCTCGCAGACGAAGTCCTACTGGGCCGAGGGCGGTTCGCCTGACGGTCCCTTCTGCCTTCGTAATCCCGTAAGAACTCGCGGAATGCTGCGCTACGCTCGTTTGCGTCAACACCCTTTCCCTTGTCTCTCGGTGAGTACATTCGAGAAGTATTTTCAAATTCGTCCGCATTGAATTGTGGCTCAACTTCTACAATGACAGCCATAGATTTCACGCCCTCCCGCTGAGGTTGTGGAGGGCGCCAGAGCACTGGTCGTAAGTCAATGGTGTCCTCAGACGGCTCGTCATGGGGTTGCGTCCAGTCCGAGGGTATGTCTCCGAACGTATCTTCGTCTGACTCTGACAATTCAAACCAGTCCCCAAAATACTTTCGAGTAGTATTTAAATTCCCATTACTGGTTCTAGGACGACTATGTACTGTACGTTTAGGTACACTAAATCCATTTACAAGGGCATCCTCGGATTTAATGCCCTTTGGCCCGGAGTCAATCATGACTTGCCGGTCTGTGTCACCTGTGCTTCGATCCTCGTGCGCGCTATGATCTGAGGCGTGGGATGCACGGTCTTCAAGCGAGTGGTCACTCGAGCTTGGACCCATCGGCATTACAGCCGGGGAATTAACCTCAATCGGGTGGTCAGCTGGAATCAGATCGGGGATTTGAGTGCCCCGATCCTCATCCGAAGCTTCCGGCTCCGATGAGACGCTCGAAACGCTGGACAAGCCAGACGATTCCGTTGACGCGAGACTGTGTGCGACCTCCGAAGAGCTCGACCGCTCGAGCGTCGGGGCTACCGGCACTGTCGGCGCAATAACCCGCCCTCCAGACCTGCGCAACCCTCCTAACTCGAGGTGCGTGGCTTCCTCCATGTGCTCGGGTGAGAATCGAGGAGGAGCTGGGGGTCTAAAAGCTTCGAGATCAACCGCGGGCTGAGATCCAATCGGTAACTCACCGAGACCTGAATACACCGTGGTGTTATTTGCTGATGGGGTGTCCTTCGGGCTGGAGCCCAAGGCCGCACCAAGCTCGGCCGCTTCCTCCAGGAGTGTGCGCCTGTTGGGAGTCCGAGGTGAGCTGGCTACAGCTGCATACGTACGCGTTCTGGTTGTAACCATTTCCGGAAGTTGATAAGTTCGTCGACGAGAAGTGCACCCGGTGACTACGCGCGCTATG